GGCCTGGTGGGCCAGGATGTGCTCCACTCTCTCCTCCTCCCCCTTCATCTGCTCCTGTGTGCTCCGATCAGATCCGTGTGTCCCTCTCCTGGAGCTGCAAATTCAATGCCGTTCTTTGAAGTAAATTCTTCTGGGGAGGAGGGGCAGGTGTCCACATAGTAGTTGGGAATGGGGCTGGCCCCTTCTCTGTTTGTGCTTATATGTCTGTGTATACTTTTATAATTTAAAAATATCGGGAGAAAACACATATATATATAAACATTGCTTTGTGCTTGCTTCGGCAGCACATACGCTGAAATTGGAACAATACAGAGAAGATTAGCATGGCCCCTGTGCAAGGATGGCATGCAAATTCGTGGAGTATTCCATATTTAAATATATATATATATATATATACCTTGCTTTACCCTCTCCCTTCCCCAAATGTGGGTATGACTATGTCCCAGTGAGTGGAAACCTTTTGGGGGGAGGGTTAGGGTTAGAGATGAGAACAGCCTCTGATTCACTTTATTTGCCGACTTCCTCTCTCATTCCTGCATAGACTTTGTACCAAGAGGTGTGCCGTTTACGATGAAAGAGTGCGTAGGAGGAGAAATGCACTTCCCCTTTCTGCCAGGGATAATCTGTCCATCCAAATATGTGCTGATGAAATTATCAGACGAAACTCCGTATCGGTCCTCAAGACCTATCACCTGTCACTTGTATCCATCCCCTTCCACATGAACACCCAACTAACCCTGTTCTCATTCACATGGGTGCAACAAGTCTAATGTCAGTGTTCTATAGCAAGACTTTATTTCCATGATGAACCCCCCAGTCCGCAGAGTTGCACCTAAGGTTGTAGGAACAGGGTGGGTATGTGGCCTGGAGTGGAGAATGAGTTCACCATGGTGCAGTGTCTTACCTAACTTCATTCCTACCTAGCTTCCAGTCCCCATGTGTCATGGCTACATCTAGCTTCCAGTCCCCATGTGTCATGGCTACATCCTCTTTGTCCTGACCCTAAGACCCTCTTCAGTGTGGACGCAGAAGCTCACATCTGAAGTCTACCATTTGCTACTCATGCGCCACTTGACCCTTCTGTGTCTGTTTTCTCATCTGTGAATTTAGGGATGTTAACAATAGTGCCTCTTTCACAGCTATTTTCTTTAAGTATTATGTTAGATAGGGTTCTCTAGACTCGAGAAACAAAACCAGGACACTTATGATTATGTTTGTGTGTGTATATATATAAACATACACATATATATGTATATATGGATAGATATATACAGCACAAAGAAATATAACCGCTCCCAGTATCGCCACTCACACCACTGGTCCTGAAGGGATCATCCACCCTGAATTCCCTGTGTTTCCAGTTCCTATCTGTACCAGTATACATCCTCTGGTCTAGCCAGACTTGAAAGGTAGAATTAGGATCATGATAGTAGGGGAGGAGGAAGCATTTAGGAACTAGAGAAAGTTGTATTTTTCATCGCTGCTACATTGCACCCTGACTGGCTTGTCTCCTCCCCAAGACCCTTGTGTAAGGGGATATCCAGTGGCCTGAAGTGGGCTTTGGGTCTCCACTGTGCTCTCCCGCCCCTCATTCTCTATAATAAGATTTTTTTGTTATGATGATGCCTGATACCTGGTACCTTTGATACCTCATGATTGCACAGGCTGGTGTGCTTCTTCCATGTGGGCTTTGTTGCTTCTGAGCTAGATGGCCGCTTGTTTACCTTTAAGCATTTAAGACCCCAGATGCTATATCTCTTGATAGCCGGGCACCATCAGCTTTCTTCACCACATTTGCTTATGCACCCGTTTGTCTTCAGCGATCGTATCATGGAGGTGAGCACATAATGATATGATGTTTTGTTCTTTGATGCCTGATAACTGATCCCTTTGACACCTCTTGATCACACAGGCTGGTGTGCTTCTTCCATGTGGCCTTTGTTGCTTCTGAGCTAGATGGCCGCTTGTTTACCTTCAGGCCTTTAAGACCCCAGATGCTATATCTTTAGATAACTGGGCACCATCAGCTTGCTTCACCACATTTGCTTATTCACCTGCTTTGTCTTCAGCG